ATAAGCCAGAAAGAGAAAGACAAACACTGTATGATCTCACTCATATGTGGAATATAAACCAACACATGGACAGAGAAAACTGGACTGTGGTTACCACGGGCAGTGGGGGGTGGGCACAAGGGGTGAAGGGAGTCATATATATGGTGATGGACAAACAAAAATGTACAACCCAAAATTTCACAATGTTACAAACCATTAAAACATCAATAAAAAAAATTAAAAACTTTTAATAAGGTGGTAATAATAATCATAATCACAACCTCACAGGATTGTTGTGAGAATTAAAGCACCCTGAACAGTGGTTGATGCAAACTCAGCACATATTAGTTTTATTTACTGTATTGCAAAGTTAATTATGATTACGTTCATTATTAATATCAGCAAAATTAGTTCCTTCTTTCATCACCCCCTCCCCCAAACTGTGGCTGGTTCAGCACCAAGCAGAATTCTAGATAAGAAGGCAGGTTTTGTCAAGACCTACAATCTCTAGCCTTTCTGTGGGAGGTCAGAGTTGATAACCCCTCCCCTTTCCACCCCCACCCCAGTGACTGCTGGCCAGAGCTGGGTCCATCTCACTCCGTATATCCAAGGTTATTCCAGGGTCACCTAATGTACCCTGAGGCTCAGGGTTCTGAGCTGGCAAGGCTGCCAGCCTCCAGGGAACAACTGGGTTTATGCCCAAGCATGTGCCCGAGCCCTCTGTGTGACTTGTGGTTTTGCTCCTAAGTAAAAGTGTCCCAAAGGCAAGTCTCAAGTTCAACAAACAACAGCATAGGAAGAATTTGCTCATCAGAAAAACACCACTAGTGCACTCAGCTGTGAGCTTCATCGTTGGAAATTTGGTCATTGCTTTTATACGATTCGCTCACCCGGGCACTATTTTTGGCAGATGCGCCACACAGACTTTACAGTTAAAGTCAGAATGTGTCTCGTAGTTTTACTAATGCTATCAGTTTTAACATCTCCTCTTCTCTGGATTTCATAACAATTATTGTAATTATTTCACATGTTTTAAGCTCTCACTGTGACAAGTAGCAAAACAGAAAATTATTGCAATAAATAGAACATGTAAGACGATTTGTGGTGTTGCTTAATCAGCTGGCACTTATGGGGCAACTATTCTGTGCAAGACACTGTACTGGGCACTGAATCAGTTGTTATGTAAACTCCCCTAATAATTGTTTGGTTATTAATTGGCTGGTTAATTTTTTTAAGAGACAGTGTGTGTATCTGCATTTTAAAGTAAGGAAATGCAATGAGATCAGATCTGCGAAGCAACAGCAACAATAGTACTTTCCTTCTTCACAAGAGACTTTGGAAGTGAGGGAAATAGCCAGCTCCGCACCTCTGCAATTGTCATCAGCAATTCTTCTTCCCCAAATCCATCTATATCCAGGCACTATCTAATTTAGTTTTCTTAAGCAGAAACTAATAGCCATAATGATTATAATAATTATATGTTAGATTTATAGAACATCTCTCCTTCTAAGAGTGCAACGCTCTTAGAGCCCTGCAGATGTTCCATAAATACATGTCTGCTAATAAGAATCACAATGAGGTCATTTCTAGGTGTTCCCCATATTGCTATCAAGTTTTGTGGACTGGACTGACCTGTGTGTACAATTGAAAAAGGGCTCTTTACATCACGCCTTCTAGGAATGAGCTCCCGCAGCGTTGTCTCTAGGAAAGGCACTCTATAGTCAATGTGATTCAACGAGTAAGAAGCCTTTTTTCTTTTTTTAAAGGATGTATGAATGGATGTATATATTGCATATCAATCAATCAACAGGTAAATGCTAAGAGTGTGCAGTAAATATAATCTAGAGAATAGGGAAACACAACCTGAACTCCATTTTTTTTTCCTCCCCTGTCTCTAAACTTTAAGTTGCTAAAGGCCAGGACTAGGCCTTGTTTTGCAACTTCCCAATACCATGACTAACTATGTTAGAGGATTTTGTTTTTATTATTATCATCTAGACAATTTTAAGACGAGACTGTCTGAACTAGGGAGTGGACTATTTTGGAAGATGGCATTTCTGTTAATTTTTTGTAAAGTTGTGTACTATCATTTTTCTGCTGTGTAGAATCTGGAGCTACAAAGGACCTGTGAAGGGCAGAAATGTCTACAATGAATGTAACACAAAGCTTGAGTGGGGAGCAGCATTATGCCTCTTTCATTCTCACCATCTGGACTGGATTAGTGTTAATGAGTCACTTCATTCTTAAATTGATACAAAAGCATGGGCACTAGCTCCTTTCTCTCCTCCCATGAGCAACTCTCACTCCCATTGGGAAGGACTGACTTGGAAAAACATTTTCCTATAAAACAATTAGAACATGATTGGTAAACAAGTATTCAGTGTAGCAACTCACTAAAACAAACAATTAAGCAAAAACAAGCTTCAGATGGGTTTGACATAGGGAAGAACCATACCTGATCGACTCCTGCTTGTAGATGTCAATAATATTTTCCACTAGCAGGTTCCTCTGGAGTCCGTATATCCCATGTCTGTCCAAAACCACTTCGTGTCTACAGGATGGGCAGCGGAATCGGCCCCCTGATGCTACAGTGGTGCCTCCTCTTGTAGGCAAGTATGGGTTAGAGGCCTGTTCTTGCCAAGCAAGAAAAGAGGAATTGAGTAATGCCACAGGTAGCTTTTCTGAGACTTGTTTTCACTCTCTCTTACTACAAACAACATCAACTCTTACTTTAAACTTTTCATAAGATAATCCCTTGGAGCCTTATCAGCAAGTGGTCCTAAAACACAGGGCCAGCACTTATCCACAGTCAAATGTACCATTTTCAACATGAAGTGCTTTTCCAACCAACATTTTCATAACCAAAAGTTCCAGCCAGAAACTCCAACGTTAATGTCTTGAGCAGTAATTCATTTACAATTTTGAAACAGATTCAATGTTTTTGTTTTTTTTTTAAACAAATATGATTCTTAGTATTGAAATAAAACTAGATTTGGGAGGAAGAAAGAGGCTGACAGCACAGCACAAAGTAAATTACTAAAAAAAATTTGTTTTTCCTGAAAATGAATGCAGCCTTACAAAGTTTCCTAAAGGAATTAACTTCAAAGTAAAGCATCTGATTTGGAAAGGAGGGAATCTTTTCCACCCCCTAAATTCCAAACAAACCTACCTGGAAAATATCACTGGCACATTTCCTACACAGGTTGTGCTGACAGGGGAGAATGACCACGGGTTTCGTGAACATCTCTAAGCAGATGGGACAGATGAGTTGCTTCTCCAAGTTATCCATGGTCTGCTGCTCTTTGGAAAAAGACTTGTAATTCAAAGATGCACTCATCTCCTGGCCGTCCCTGTGTGCGCTGCCAGGGAAAGGGTGCTCCCAATGGTTCCTGCAAGTGTTTCCTGGAAATAATTCCAAGGATTGTGCGATCAAGTGTCCTTTACATTTCTTTTGGTAGAGGACATTATTTCAGGCCCCGGTTGAGAGTGGGTGCCGGAGCTGTTTTTAGCAGCTGAGGGGCACGTGACAGTGGGCTGACTTGTCCATATAAGCCAGTGACAGGAGGATGGATTCTGACAGGTGACAGAGAACAGAAGCCAACATTCCTGCCCCAGGGAGTGAAGACAGTGGGTGGGAAGGAGGATTACAAACTCCATTTAGACGAGGTTGTGGGGAGAAGGAGTTGAAGCTGACAGTTGTCAACAACAAATGCAAACGTGCATGCCGAGTCACTGAGCCATGGCCTCCGTGAGCCCTCAATAAGAACTTGGTTATGGGTTTCTCCAGGATCAGGTAGAACACAGCCCAAGAGTTTAACTGTACAATGAATGCCATTTCTGTCTTGAGAGTTTAGGAAACAAGTCGCCAAAAGTAGCATGATCACATTGTCTTAGGTGAAAACAAACAAAACATGTTTGAAAATCATTATCCTGGCTTCACAAGGGCAATCATCTAAAAACAGTTGAACAATATTAAATATTTCATCTTTGCGAGGGTTGCTGTCTGGGAAAAATTCTAATTTAAAAACTGATTTCAAATCTTTTCACCATAAAATTGCCCACAAAATAAAAAAAAAATTCCAAACACCAGCTGATAATCCAATTTTAAGTTGTATAATAAAACTCCGGTATGCTCTTTTCTCTTCCACACTGCTCTCCCTCCTCCCTAGCCCTCTTTCATCTTGTACCCTACCAACACCCCTACACACAGCGGAAAACATAAAGAAAATATGATAATCTTTAAAAATTTAGTTTGCAGTAATAACCAGCAATGGAGCAGTAATTGGCACATGGGATAGCAGACCCATTCTTTCATTTTGCCATATTGGGGGACAGATATTAGTGCCACTGCTGAGGTGAAAATGGAGTCCTGCTTGCCTTACAGTTGATTCTGACTCCTAGTGACCCTGTTTTATCAGGCAATGCTACTCATAGGGTTTTCATGGCCAATTTTTTTCAGAAGTGGGTGGCCAGTTTCTTCTTCCTAGTCTGTCTAGTCTGGAAGCTCCACTGAAACCTGTACACCGTGGGTGACCCTGCTGTATTTCACCATGGGTGAAATGCTGGGGGCATAGGCAGCCAGGTGGTGTGGTTCTCTGACTCGGAAAGGAACCCGGGCTGCAGTGGTGAGAGCACTGAACCTTAAGGGCTCGACCACGAGCGCCTGCTTCCATACCTGGGTTTTATCTGGTCTGAAATACCTACACCTGTTTGCATTTGCCTCTTCCTCCAAGTTGATTTTTTAAAGGATAGTTTTCCTGGTCATTTCTGATATTCTTGGTCTGCTCTTGAGTCATAAATATCAATTCTGATATTTGTCAGGATTTGGTGAAACAACTGTTTCATCAATATATGTCGTTTAAATATTTAAAATCAGATCAAAAATGAAAAAGAAATTCATGTCTCTTTTTTATGTGATGAATTTGCTGCTTTGTTTCTCCTTGATTTTAAAAACCTCAAACAATGAACACATTTGGTTAACGTAACCCCAGTGTGCTCTTAATTACCAGTAAAGAGTGGATTGGTGTGACTGGTTATGTGTGGTCTTAGTGCTGTGTGCACTGAGAGCTTATTGAGAATCTAATAAGCTCCATTAACTAATATAAGTTAACTTAATTAACTCAGTAAAAGAATGTCACCAATTCCCTTCTTCACTGTAGTTACTAAATAGATACTGAAAGGAACAACAACAGAAGCAAAGACCGTGAGGCCCAGGAGTGCTGGGAATACTCAGAGTGTAGGGTGCTTTGGGCTGGAGTGCAGAGCATGCTGCTGGCACATTGGTAGGCCATGAATACTGTTTTTAACACTTAATAAATTAGGCAATGGGAAGTCGTTAAAAGTTTCTCACAGCGAAATGTCTCCATGCGAGCTATGCATTGGATAGATGAATCGTGCAGTGGTGGTTGGGATAAATGAGAGTGAATGTGACCCGGCTAAAGACCAGATGGCAGGTTGTTGCCAACAGCCCGGGTAAGAGGTCACAACACCCTGGCACAGGGCAATGGCAGTGGGGAAGGAAAGGAGGATATGGACTCTGGGGTGGCTACGCAAGTAGAATCCACAGAGGTGACTCAGATGCCCTGAGTCTGAGCAACCACCGATGACGCAGCGAGAGGCTGCGCAGTGAGTCAGGAGACAGGCCTCTCCAGCCCCCATGTCCACCTTGCTTTGTGATCTTGGGAAAGTGACCTCACCTAGCTGGATTTCAGTTCTTTTATCTACAAGTGAGTGGGGTTCATAACTTAACTTAGCAGTATTGGTAGGAAAAAAACACTCTAAAACAGTATTAATTTTGACATTGAAAGTCTCAAATTCAATTATTTGATATAGAGTTGATCCCTATCCTCTCCTCTTTTTTACTCTCTGTTCCTTCTTGCTGTCTGCCTTTCACTTTTTCTTAGAACTGCCCTTGGAGGCTACACAGGAAAACAGCAAGAATCCCGTAGGAATAAGAGCCAAGTTGATGGATAATAATCACCTTCCCCTCCTCACACTCTTTTCTCCATTCCTTGCACCTCCCCACTCTCAGAGACCAGTAATCAATGGGGTGGGCATGCGAGTTGGGAGTGGGACATGGGAGTAGCACTCTGCTCTAGGGAGGAACCAAAAAATTTTAGTCTGCTCCCAAATCATTCACAGAGTCAGAGAGACGGAGAATTCTGGAACTGAATCAGAATTGAAGTCAACTTCAAGGCTCTGGGATTTGGAGTGGACCTGGGCCTCCATGGAGACCTGAAAACCAGCTCAGTCTCCTGAAGGTATCCTGGACTACATAGGAGTGGTGCACAACTTCCTCCCCGTCTCCTACCCTCGCCCTACCACACACTAGGACAGGCGGCTGAAACCAATCCGGGGCAGTTACCCAGGGAGCTGCCTTAGTTGGAAGCCCCGATTGCCTCTCATTCTTGAGTCCCACCAGACTGGGGCAGGCGTATGTTTAGACACATTGAGAAACTGAAGCAAAACCACCACTGTCCTCGCCTTGTCCAGCAGTTTCCCAATGCCCCAGATAAGTCAGAGGGGGCAAGATGGGTCCCTAAGAACCTGACTATACGCCCAACAGTGGACTTGGCACTGAGGGGCGATGATAGAAAGAGAAGACTTTTGAGCTCTTTCAGCCTCTAGCTACCGGACCAAACGGACCCAGACTTCAGGGGCCAGGGCATAGGAGTGAAATGTAGATCTCAGTGTGTTCTTTGTCTCATGAAGGGAGAAAATGAGGTTCTACATTCTGTTACTTTCAGTACTATACCATCACAACAAACATAATATGTAGAGTACCAATCACGTCTTAGAATAGGTCTGTGATAAGTATTATTATCTCCATTGAGCCGACTGTGGCTCAGTGAAGTTAAGCAGTTGCCCAGTGTCATATGGCTGTTAGTTGTGAAGCAGATTCCAAGACATATCTTTTGACTATAGAACCCATGACCTCATCCACTATGCTGGACCACACCCACGCTCTACAGCACATTGTCCATTAGAATTTTCTGCAATGACGTAAAGGTTCTATATCTGTGCTGTCCAACCTCTAGCCACAGGTAGCTAATGAGTACTTGAAAGGTGTATTGTGCAACTCGGGACGTGAATTGTTAATTTTATTTAATTTAAACTTATGTTTAAATAACCATATGTGGCTAGTGATTACCATATTGGACAGTAGCCCTAGAACATGAGATATTAAAAAATCTTGGAGGAAAACTGGAATGTATATGAAGGATTCTCCAACAGGAACTGGGTCCCCCTCTTTTGGTGGATTTTGTACTTCCTAGTTAGGGTGATATACAACTCCTCTAACCCTAGAATAGTTAGAAAAGCAACATTAACTCTTCATTTAACTCTTGCAAAAAAACAAGAGAGCATTCTGGGAATAGAAGGCATTAGAAAAGTCCCAGGAAATCAGTGTCAGGAGTGCTACCCTTCTTGAGGATTCCAGAATGTCCTCAACATTTCATTTACCCATGTTCTCTCTGTCTCTTTAGCAAAGATAATTGCAAATCCAGCTACTTGAAAATAATCCAGGCTTAGCTCAAGAAACTAGCTGGTCATTCATCAAACGAAACAGAAGACATGGTCAGATGGACGGTGGAGCTCGAGGGAAGACAAAAAGAGATACAGTTTGAAGCAACGCACTGAGGCAGATAGAACGTAGCTTTGGTGGAAGAGAAAACAAGAGGAACTAGCTTCTGGATCAACCTCCAAGGTAGAGAGGAAGGCGAATTCTTCCTTCTTGTCCCCACCAGAAGTGAGAAAGTTGGTGGCTGACTAAATCATTAAACCAGGGAGAGAACACCAGATGATGTGGATGTGGAGGCAGAGAATTGGGGGTTGCTGAAGAAGGAGGTTTAGTTAGACTGGAACACTAGGGCATGAGTGGACTGAGACTTTCAGGTCAACTCCAGCACCAGTTAAATCTTCTCAAAATCACTTTAGTCCTATTCCAAAACAAAGGCCAACGCCTAACATTGTGCAGACCAGGTCCTCTTAAATTAAGACAATGAGGTTGTTAACTCTTTCCTGCAATAGCCATTTGTTAATCCATCCATCCATCCTCCCGCCCCCACCTTGATTAGTGAGGGCACCTTAGGTGACCAGTGGAAAGAAGTCAGCACTTCATTTGGGATTTAGATGAGCTGGTGTTCCAAGCGGCAGGCTCTGTTGATCAGTCCTGCCAGATATAACCCATCTGACCACAGCAGACACATGTAAAGTATGTTATTTCTTTTGGTATCCTGGAGCTCAGAGTGCGGTCCAAAAAAGCACTTTCTAACCATTATTTGGCTTATGAATTTGTCTCATAGAACAAATATACTTGAAAAAAGATATGTACTTGAAAAAAATATAATCCAGAACTCTCTTTCCAGTAAAAGGATTCTTGCAATCTTCTTACACCAAGCACTCAACTCATGACATCTACAAAATACTTAACATTTTCCTTCTGTCTACAATGTCACTCTTTTCAATTTAGCTGTCTATCTGGCAATAGGCAGCTTAGATATGTGATTTTAAAAATTTTAATGAAAAGAAACATTTTACAAAATCTAAAATAAAAAAGATACGAACTAACTTGAAAAGTACTTAACAGAAGCTAACACGGTGGCATTTCTTTCATTAGATAGTTTGCAAACTTCTGGCTGAAAGCTTTTTTTTCCCCACAATAATTATTCCTTCTCCAAATCTGTTGTTTATAAATTCTACTTCATCATAA